TAATAATTTAATAATTTAATTATTAANAATTTAATAATTTAATTCTTTAATAATAATAATTTAATAATTTAATTCTTTAATAATAATAATTTAATAATTTAATTATTAATTTGTAATAATTTAATAATATAGATCGCACTTGTGTTCTCCATTCGCCTTACCTGCATAAAAGAACATTTACAACTCTGAAACGCGAATATTCTTCGTAAATTTTGCATAAGTTTATACGATCGGAAACTTTTTGCCACGGATTAAAGATTGCGAGTCATCAATGACTATTGGGAGAAAAAATTCTTCGCGAGGTTCGATCAAGTGCAGCTGCATCTGGTGCACGGAGGCCGGCGCGGCCCGCGGGGATCGCGATTCCGCATGATCGGGGGCACCGGCGAAACTATAACGCAGCGGTGGAACGCCATGCCAGTTCGATCGCAACTTTCATTCAGGTTCCACGGAAAAAAATCAGATCCGGTGTTAATCGCGCGCAGCCCGCTCGGCGACCTTTCTTATGCGTGCGTCGATGTCTCCGCGAACTGTGTAGCGGACTGTATCCCTCTCTGGATGGCTATAGCCCGGCCTGCCTCGCCTTGCCTCGGCCGCCTAGATAATGCCGCGTTAACATTTTATTGGAATTCCTGGCTGCACGGAGTTTGCGCACTGTCGGTTTTGCACGGGAAATGTTCGACGTATCTGGTCCGATTTTAGTTTAGGTTCTGTTGCAATTCTAGTCGGAGATACTTCTCTAAACCAGATACGGCCACGCTATATACAGTAAATTCTCTCTAATTCGCGCTCTGATTATACACAAAAATGAACAGTTTGGGAAGAAGAGATACGATTATTATTTATTTTATTATGTACAGTTATATATTTTATTATTACTTACTGTAATATTATTGTTATTATTGTTATGTTATATAATTAGTTATTTTATTATTAGTTATTGTCATATTATTGTTATTATTGTTATGTTATATAATTAGTTATTTTATTATTAGTTATTGTCATATTATTGTTATTATTGTTATGTTATATAATTAGTTATTTTATTATTAGTTATTGTCATATTATTGTTATTATTGTTATGTTATATAATTAGTTATTTTATTATTAGTTATTGTCATATTATTGTTATTATTGTTATGTTATATAATTAGTTATTTTATTATTAGTTATTGTCATATTATTGTTATTATTGTTATGTTATATTATTGTTGTGATTGTTATGTTATAGTATTAATTATTTTATTATTAGTTATTGTTATATTATTGTTGTTATTGTTATGTTATAGTATTAATGACTTGTTAATTTAAAAAAAAACAAGTTATTTTAACCCCTCCGGTAGCAGTAGATACGCGTCAATCGTCGGAGGTTGGAGTGTTAAGACGCCCAGTTTTGTAACATAAGAAGTGTTGAAGATGTTTTCGTGCTATCTGCATATTAGCTCCAGCACCGCAACTCGGAATCCGTCGTGTTCACAGTCAGCATACAAGATCGGCCATCCTCTCGCAGCAACAATTCGAAAATTCCCACACATCGGAGCGCATAAAAAGCCGATCAATTAGCTCGCGCGGCACGCAATGTTGCGAGCGTACCTAGAACCCGGATCCATTACCGGCGTCTAGTAGAATCCGCGTTGTTATCAGGAGGGTGCATACTAGTTTGTCCGTTTTTCCAACGGAGAATGTTGTAGGCCATGGCAGAAGATATGAAGCGGCGCGCCGAATGCTGTTTATTCGATAGTGTCGAATATAAAATTGTATTCGTTCGTCTCTATTTCTCATCCGTCATTCGAATAAAATTTTGCCAAACTCTGACAGCTGCAGTAAAGTCTTTCCAATTTTTTCACTCAACATGTAAACAGAAATGGACAATTCGAGGAGAGGAGATACGATTATTCGAGCCACCTGATTCGTTTTTATAGTTATCGATTGTCTACAACAGATTGACCATTTTTGTGCACAATCTGAACGTCAATTACGGAGAATTTACTGTAATCGGTTGATTAGATCTCGAGATATAGTGAATACAGTAATGTCTCTCTAATTGTCACTCAACATGTAAACAGAAATGGGCAATTCGAGGAGAGGCGATACGATTATTCGATCCTCCTGACTCGCTTTTATAGTTATCGATTTTTCTGTAACTCTAAAAATGAGCCACGAGGCTCGAATAATCGAGCCTCCTCTTCTTAAATTGTCGATTTTTTAATCTGAGCTCAGATTTTCCACAATAATCGTGTCTCCTCTTCCCAAATTGTCGATTGTTGTGCACAATCTGAGTGTCAGTTAGGGAGAATTTATTGTAATCGGTTGATTAGATCTCGAGATATAGTAAATACAGTAATGTCTCTCTAATTAACGCTCAAATTGTCCACAAAAACGGACAATTTCGGAAGAGGAGATACGATTATTCGAGTCTTGCAGCTCGTTTTTACAGTTACAAATTGTCAACTATAAAAACGAGCTACAAGGCTCGAATAATCGTATCTGCTCTTCCCAAACTGTCCATTTTTGTGCATAATCTGAGTGTCAGTTAGGGATACATTACTGTATTCCCTAATTGATGCTCAGCTTGGGAAAGAATGGATAATTTGAGAAGAGCGATTATTCGAGCCTTGCGTCCCAATTTTTATAATCGTTGACAGTCGTCGACTATATAAAAATGAGCCGCAAGACACGAACGATCGTATATCCTCTTTTCAAATTGTCCATTTTTGTTTACAAGCCGAGGGACAATTGGAGAGAATTTGCTATGAATGGTTTCACTCCATACGGAGGATTCTTTTGAAATGCATTTGGAAAAACAGACGATCTACTCCTTCAGAGGAACCTATCCACGTATGAATGTGACTCTTATTAGTCTAATAAGCAGACTGCGGATTTTATGGACGCATGACAAAAACATTTAGCTGAAATATAAAATTGTGAGGACATACGATGAATTTAATAACATTGCAACACTGTCTCCGACTTATCAAAATTGTTAAAAGGAAACAATTAATTTTTATTCAATTTATATATCTTACGACCGTGTTAGAATATTTTTAATTTGCATGAAGATACGCGGTCTAGTAATAAGTGACTTGAAACGGAAATTCTTTCCTTAATCGTCCAATCATTGGGACATTTACCTTGCTCGACTCAACGAAGAGCCGCAAATTTCATTAGAATCGGTGGATTACGCTTGGATGTTTTCCTTATGAGAAGAAAATAATGATTTTTAATGCGAGGGACACAAGGCCGTATACCCAGGGCTCCGAGCCCCAATGAAAATGAACTTTTGCGACGGTTGAAGACATTTTGTGGAATCTCGTAGAAGAAAACGACGAGTTTGATATCGAGGAATGAAGGAAGCACAGGATTGCCGTGGCTGCGATTGTCACACGTTCACTGTCGAACACCGCTGTTATTCAACATGTCAACAGAAATGGACAATTTGGGAAGAGGAGACACGATTATTCGAGGCTTGCGGCTCGTTTTTATAATTACCGATTGCCAACAACTATAAAAGCGCGAGGCTCGAATAATCGCGACTCCTGTTGTCAGATCGTCCATTTCTGTTTACATGTTGAGTGAAAAAATTGGAGAGAATTTACTGTACAGTAAATTCTCCCTAATTCACCCTCAGCTTAGAAACAAAAATGGGCAATTTAGGAAGGCCGTATACCCAGAGCTCCAAGCCCCAATGAAAATGAACTTTTGCGACGGTTGAAGAGATTTTGTGGAATCTGGTAGAAGAAAACGACGAGTTTGATATCGAGGAATGAAGGAAGCACACGATTGCCGTAGCTGCAATTGTCACACGTTCACTGTTGAACACCGCTGTCATTCAACATGTCAACAGAAATGGACAATTTGGGAAGAGGAGACACGATTATTCGAGGCTTGCGGCTCGTTTTTATAAAAACGACAAAAGATATAAAACGACATCTATCATAAATAAATAATAATTTTTAAAATGTCAAACCTCTTGAAACATATTGTTAAACAATACAGATGGTTTATAAAAATTAAAGAAAAACGTGTTTTTATAACTTTCCAACTGAATTTTACAAGACGTTCGAATAACTATATGGCCTGAAAATTCGATATTTTTTTATATTTGCTTAATTACGTATAGGCAACGTTTCATACTAAATGGAAAGTTCTTTGTGTATTTTCACATTTATATAATCTACTTTAATATACCGCAAAGGATATTTTTCCCTCCAATGCATATCTATTTAACGTTAGATTTACGGAGCACAAGAAACAGCTGTTTCATATTACTTTATAAAAGTATCAATTAGGCATTTATTCTGATTTTTAACAACCGTTATTGTACAACATATAAAATAAAATACATAACTCATAAACGTATCTTTACGATATGAATAATCGCAAAAATACAAAATTAAACAAATTAAAACAATCCCGTCATTTAGACGGATTCCGTAAATCTAGTGTTAAATATACGTCGCGTACGAGCGTAGATATTCACGCTTATGTTTATGCTCACAGCATTGCTCATCGTACCGCTACCGTATTCGCATTTAACGTCGCAGACAACAATCGCGCTAAACAAAAATAAATAAACCGTCGATAAAATGCGTTCGTACAACGTTTCTTCGTCCCCGAGTCGCGCGAATCTTAAATCCTAACAAAACCGCAATTTTCCGTTAAAAAAAAGCGAACAACAGAAGCGTCCGAATGTTCGTCCAAAATCATCTAGCGTCCAAAGAAAAAGACATAAAACCTGCCCGCGCCGTGTGTGTCGCGTTGGCAGGATCCCGATCCCCGGTGCAACTCTGCGGCAGGTAAGTAGCACCGGTGCGATAAACAAACAAGGAGTCAAGTGTGCTCGGCGGTCTTCGTTGACGGCAGCCGAGCCTGGCCGAACGTTCTCCTCCACCTTTCGCGGCTCCGTGGATCGCCTACGTTCACGTCTGCCTCCTTTTCTCTCCTCTCCTCCTCCCACCTTGTCGGAAGGTAGAGGCTGGTAACTCAGGTAACTCGCGCCGTTCACCTGGAGAGAGAGAGAACCGGGTCTTCAGTGTTCAGTCTCGAACCGGTGGGCCGGAGGGAAGGAGCTCCGTGACCCTGAATCTATTTTACAAACCGTTCATCTTGTCGCAAACACGTCTCTCTCGTTCCGTTTCGTCTCTTTTCTCTCTATTTTCCTTCGTCTCGTCTCGTTTCACCGACGTTCATCCTCGTGGTTCATTCGATCGGCGCGGGGACGACGACGGTTCTGCTGTCTGGATCCGTGCACCACGACACGGCAGAGATCGACGGGTCCAGTGTGGTTCCGAAGGACTCCCGGGGTCTGTCGCGGGGACGTCGGTTCGTTTTGTGCAGTGAGAATTCTCGTCGGCGGACGCCGGAACGGAGCACGTCCGTGGTGTTACATGTAACCGGGACAAGGATCGGGACGCGGAACGTAGGAGCACCAAACCGAGTAAGTTCTCTCTCTAGACGACGAGATATATACATTTCGTTCCGGGACACTTCCGGGCGACCGATGCTCTCGGATAATCCCCGGGGAACACCTGCGCGCCTCCCGACTACGGCTGGCCAGAGTGCTGCTTCCGCTCGGCGAAACTCGGCTACGAAGGACTTGAGAATTGATCGGGCTCGGTTTAGGGGAGCGCCGGAGAAACGTGTTATCGTGAAAGGATTATGGTTCATGGTAGAGAGAGAGAGAGGGCCGCCGAGAGCTGTACAGTGAGTGTAGAGAGTAGATTAGCCACCTTAGTAACCTGGTGAGGCTGGCCTGTTCGGTCTCCGAATGCTAATTGGATCTTATGTTGCACGGTGATTGTTCTTATTCGGAGCTTGTGGGACGACGGATCGTCGACGGAGCCGTGTAATTGGTCGCGCGGAGAACCATGGTGCACGGTGCGATCGGCCGAACATTCGGCGGAGAACGATCCCGAGTCTGATCGAGTGCTTTCGCAAGCTGGCTTTGTCCGACGCTAGATTTACGGAACACAAAAGACAGCTGTTTTATGTTGTTAGGGCATCAAAGTATGAAACGTCCGATTTCGAGACTGAAAGCGTGGTTGTTTTTACGTCTCCGGCCTTGCTCTAGGGTCGCCCGCGTGGTTCATTTTCAGGATTTCGAAATCTTCAGATCGGAATTTTTCGAACCATCGACGCACTGTACGTTCATTAGCCACGTCTTTGATGGACATCTCGTTGACATTTCGACTTGTCCGCGGTGCGTTAGTTCCACGACGGAAATCACATTCGAAAATAACGCGAATTTTTCACGTGGCTCCATGGCTTGCAATATTTAACCCTCAGAGGACGATACGATGGACTGTTGAAAACGGAAGAGTGCGTCTGAAGGCCAGATGGCGTGTCTCTTCTCAATGCAAAAAGAAAAAAAAACGAAGGACGGTCGAAGTGAAATATCGGAAACGTCGGATATCGAATTTGATGCTTCAGGTAATCGGACGTTTCATACTTAACGACCGAATAGTTTAGGTCGTTAATGTAAGACATTTGAATAAAACATTTATTCTGATTTTTAGCAAGTGTTATTGTAACATTTGCAGTAAGTAACGTATAAATTGAATAAATAACTCATTAATGTATCTTTACGACATGAAGAATCGTAAATTAAAGCGTTAGCGACTCGTCATTTTGACGGGTTTCGTTAATCCAGTGCTAAGCGGATTAGGTGGATTTGAAGTATACCTTCTCTTCTCAAAAAGTATTGGGACACCTGCTAGTTTAGCACAAATAGTAAAATATTACAATATCATTGAGTTTAAGTCGTGTCTGTAAGTCTGCAATGTGGCATCGTATTGCCGAAAATACATATTAACACATCCACGACCGCGCCAGATGCCTTAAAAATTGCATAAAATTAAAGTATTTCATTCAATGAAACAAAAATTACGTAGCAAACTTATATGACATCAATTACTTCAACATTCGTTGAAGATTCGTTTCTGGCGAATCTTCATAAAATTAAGCAGTCATTTTTAATTAGACGTAGAAGATTTTTCCTCAATCGGTCATCAATCGACTGAATTTAAAACGGGGAGATCTCTAAGGTACAAGTATTTGTCACTTGTGCAATTAGTTTTTTATCGATTTATTTGCATTTTATTCAGTGGAAATGTATCCAGAGTTCATTTAGCGCTTTTCGTTTCCAATTGCGCGGAGCCGAAACAATCAGAAAAATAATCAAACGGATGCCGAAATTAGTCCAAGAAGTAGCTAAAAAATGCGGTATATATATGATATATAGAAACAATCGGAAAAGTAATAAAACGGATGCCGAAATTAGTCCAAGAAGTAGCTAAAAAATGCGGTGGATATATAATATATGCAGAAACAATCGGAAAAGTAATAAAACGGATGCCGAAATTAGTCCAAGAAGTAGCTAAAAAATGCGGTGGATATATAATATATGCAGAAACAATCGGAAAAGTAATAAAACGGATGCCGAAATTAGTCCAAGAAGTAGCTAAAAAACGCGATGGATATATCGACGAGAAGAACTTTTAACTATTTTCTTTTACAAAATTGGCGTTATTTTTATTACAATGTGAAATAAATATATGTACTCGTTACAGATTAATATAACTAACTTTGAAATAAATACAAAAACTTATAACAATTTTTCATCGAGTTTTCGTATTAATTGAATTTTCGGCAAGTGTCCTAATACTTTTGGAGGGGAGTGTACGCGTAGTGACGAGATTAAACTTGTTGGATGTACTTCGGAAAAATTAATTAGGAAATAGTTGCTTTTGAGTTTCCGTGAGAACACTTCAGGTTTATGAATCATGGATTGCCTGGAAATATAGTCGTCAGAAATATTTCGTAGAAATTGACAATAAAGTTGCGAATGAACTCGCGGTTCCGTATGCACAAATATAAACTTTGAATAGATAATTTACAGAAACAGAGAACATTGACAAAATCAAATTTCATTGATTTTTGTTCAAGTTTCATATTTGATCGACCATTTCTTTCATCTTCGTTTCTGGTTGTTTTCCATTAGATCGTCATTTCCTTCGATATTTGTTCGATTTTCATCTCTCTGTTTGATATTTTTATTATTATTATTATTATTATTTGTTAATCGAACAGGCAAAATACCCTTTGGATTACAGAATACGATATATAAAGTGATTTAATTCGAGCATACTTAGTGTAAATTGCGTCAGAAGATTTACGAGTCACAGAAAAAATTGATGTCGTTGCTGCATGAGTTTAAATATCTGATAATTCCGTTAAGACAATTGTAACGACCATAAAGTTTGCGATGGATATTTTTGTTCGGTCATTACCTTTGGTCGATTTTTATTCGTTTTTTTCTACTTTCGGTCCATTTTTATTCGATCTTTATTTTCGGTCGTTCCTTTTTCATCTTTACTTCGGCCGATTTTTGTTCGATCCTAATTTCCTCCGATTTTTGTTCGATCTTCATATCTCGTTGCTTTTTGTTCTTCGTGAAATCGATTCATATTTACGAATACTGGATTAGCTGGCAATATAGTTGTAAAAAATACTTCGCAGAAATTGACTACAGGGTACTGAACGGGTATTAGTTGCAACGTATTAATTAAAACCATTAAATCCAGAAATAATTAGGTTGCTCCGACTGCTTGTGGTCGACATGAAAAACATGAATTTTTTCACAAAGCGCATCCAATCACTGTACTAATTGGTCCAGCGAGACTTATCCAGTCTTTCTCGACGAACAGTTATTACTAATAATATTAATAATGATAATAAAATATTGATACTACTACTACTACTAATAATAATAATAATAAAATAGTTGTAATAATAATAATAAAATATTAATAATAATAATGATGATAATAATAATAAAATAATAGTAAGAATATAATAAAATATTAATAATAATGATGATAATAATAACAAAATAATAGCAAAAATAATAATAATGATAATAACAATAAAATAATAGTAATAATAATAAAATAATAATAAAATATTAATAATTTTGGTAATATTTATTTACGGATCAAAACCCTTAGTTCAAAGAGCGAGTGACTAAACAAGCGAACGCGTCGGAAAAATCGAAACGCGTGAGTGATGGTAAAAGGTTGCGGTGGCTCCAGCGATTTCTTGCCGATCCGAAAAAGCAGCTCCGTATAGCGATCGCAGAGTATAGTTATCGTTTCCTTTTGTTCTATTTCGAGCGATGCTAAACGGTACTTTGTTCCCTTCGGCTTCTTCCAGCCGCGGAATTTACGCGATTTTCGTTCTGCTCAGTGAGCTGTCGCATACATTCACCCGTGCAGCAGTGATCTCGGAAATGCATCCGAACAATATGAAACGAGCCGGCACACGATTTCCTCAATATTCGAGTGAGTTTTCGACGGCGAGCGATAGCGATTTTCCATCGAAACAACACTTTCGCTTTCGAACCGCGAAGCTTCGTGCTTTTATTATCTACGGATATAGACACCGCGGATGCAAGAGACACACGGGGCATGTAAGAATGGCGGCGCAGAATTTATGGAAGAGAAAGCCCGTTCGTCGAATAACGAAATCCGCGGTGCCCACGGCGATCTGCGCTCCGCGGCCACGTGAACCGGTAATGGGCTATGAAAAGCCGAGAAAATTGCCGACGATCGCGAAAACCGTCCCGCACGCTGCTCCATTTACGTGCCGATTTATTGTTTCCTCGGGAGCCAATTGTTTCTCCGCCTATGGCCTCGAATCCGCCTCGGAAACCTTTCGTATCCACGAATAACAGCTTCCAAACACTACTCGGTAATGTTCGATAATTTTCTGAACCGTTTGCGTACCACGAGCCACTTTTGCGCTCCTCAGACTTTGTGTCGAGCAAAGCCAGCGCATTTGGCCGAAACAGACGACTTACGGCCCATCCCCGAAATTTGTCGAAACGTGCTCAGTCTTTCAGACGCATGTATAGGTCGCGCGTCGCATCGCTGTCAGTAATCCAATTTGCATTTTGTTGTTATCTATTCTAAATTAATAGCATATATATTTTCATTCGTAACGTTTTATTTTATGTTTTACGGCTTTTTTCGACACATAATCGAAGGAGCGCTTTTCGATCCTGTTTTTTCAGAACCATCTGGTACGCAAACGGTTAAAAACAATCAGTCTCCTTTGTTTATTATTTGCATGAACAATCGGTTTACAGTCGCTACGAATCGGTAACATCGAAATTTGCAAGATTAGCCATTTTATTAATCGAATTTGTTGGTCAGTGATAATTTGCAGGTAATAGCTTCAAAACAGTACTCAAATAATACTCGATAATTTTCTGAACATTAAAAAGCAGTGACATTTCGATCTATTTTTCGCAAGAACAATCGTTTTACAGTAGCTACGAATCGGTAAAATCACAATTTGCAAGAATTTTAGCCACTTTATTAATCGAATTAGTTGGCCATTAATAATTTCCAAATAATAATATCCAAACAGTAATCAAAT